TGGCCCCTAAATTAATAACTAATGATTTTACAACGGAAATTAATCAATGCTGAACACTTAATCTGGACAATGACTTTCTTCTAGATCTACAGCAGAAACAAACTCTGTTGCATTATTGTTATCACTGTAGAGCTGCTTTGAAACAATATGTATTGTACAAAGCGCTATAGAAATAAAGGTGACTTGACCCCTAGTGTTGAGTAAAACATAAGAGAACATCTAAGAAAACATAAAAAGAGCAAAAATACTAGTTCTCTGTAATTAAACACTCTTGCAAGGCCCCTATCAAGCATTATTAGATGCAATCAAATTAGCTATAAAACAAACATTCTATTCCTTAAGTTAAAGATCTATATTGAACATACCTTATTAGCTTAGTTTCAAGTTTTTCTACCTCTTTGAAAGGTAAAAACCCCCCACTAATCTCTAAAGCATTAAAACTGTAATGTATTAGTGTGAAAAGAGGCAAGTAAATAAATTAGCTGATGTAAAATCAACAAACTTGACATAAAGAATGTCCCTTTTTCTTTCTGGGGCCAGTTGCATAAACATAGCCATTATGTTAACACAGTGTCTTAAGAACTAGTATGACCAACTAGCAGTTAGTTAGGGGTAATCAGTCTTACTGTTCGGTATCAAATTAGACCAATGTACGTTTTTATGTAAATTGGATGACTAACTTGTAAGACTAGGCTTAGCAGTTTATGCAACTCGCCCCTGATCTTCAAACTGAGAACTCACTAAAGTAACAACATCCCTTTTTAACTACAACAGAGTAAACAGGACCTCTGTATTGCAAACCCCTCCATGTTGTTGTTGTTGTTTTTGGCGTATGCCTACCAATGCAATGTCACTACCATAGAAACCAATGCAGATATTCTGGAAAACGAAAGAGCGCCACGGAACACACAGTCGGATCTGAACAGTTGCGATACACAATCATTCAGTCACTCATTTAGATCAGATTCCAATCGGATACACATATAATTGGATTTGGACTGACGGTGGTGTATGGTAAAATTGCGGCTATCGGTTTGGATCAAATTTTGAAAATTTGGTGTTAAAAAAAAGGATTCTTAAATTGGATTAGATCACGTAATTGTCTTGATCTGGCAGGACGGAGTGCACCTGTTGTTCGTAACTCCATTGTGTCCAGCCCAAGTATGGTTGTTGTATTGGTATCTCTCTTGGAGGCTCTCCTCCAGTCTCAGGTGTCGGGGCTCAGTACGGCACCCTGACCCGAGATATGGGAAAGGTGGGGTTTGATGCCCACTGTAGATGCTGCTCTCTCAACCAAGGTTGTCGAGACCATCTTGATTGCTAAAACTCCCTCTACAAGGAGATTGTACGCTAGGAAAGGCAGCGTGGTGCGAACAGTGTCATTGGGATCATTGGCATCCGGATGCCCATTGCTGGAAGTTCTGCAAGAGCGTCTCTCGGCAGGGCTGGCTCCTGCGACACTGAAGGTGTATGCAGCGGCCAGGACACGTGCTGATTGATGGCACGTCATTAGGGAGGCATTCCCGAATATCTCGCTTCTTACCTGGAGCCAGATAGATGAGGCCTATCTGCCCATTGAGAGTTCCTTCCTGGGACATTTCTATAGTCCTGAGGATTATTATGCAGTCCATTTGAACCCTTATGCCGAGTTCACACTGCACGATTTTCAAAGTCGTCGGATCACTGTTCTTTACACTGCACGACTATCTGGGATAGCACTCAGTTGCTGCTGTGTGCACATTGCATGGATCGCCGACAGGGGGTTTCACATTGCATGACTTTACAATAGAAAGAATTGGCAACAATTTCTGTCTGGTCCGCAAACAACGTTTCACAACCAAAGACACGTGAGAAGTGATAAAGAAATAACGCGAGATCACGCGTGAGACTGGAATTGTTATTAAAAATGGTAGCCCGCAAGAAGCTTGCGATCTAAATTGTCTGTGCGCTGATTTGTAGTGAAAAGGAGAAAAAGAAAAACAGATTAAGGAGGAAATGGTTGGGGAGACGCGGGGAGCAAGGATTGTGTGTTCTGCAAAGAGAGTTGGTGGTAAGTAAATAATTTTGCAATGTGGTGCTGTTGCTGCTGGTCAAGCAAATGTTTCTGCTTTGTTTCTGAATGATATAATTGTAAATATATCTATTAAAATACTTATATTCTGGTCTATAACTCCTCCCTGAACTCCCCGCTGCCCTGTATCTTGCTCTCTCCTTGGCTGTAGGTCATCGCAGATGTAATTTTTAGTCAGAAAACATTTCACACAGCAGGATTTTGAATCTCAGACAGGTCCAGATATTTAGCATGCCAAATATCTCATGGCAGATCGCGTCTTTAATAATGCATTGCACACTGCGTGATTGTCACTCGCGTGAACAAGTGCCGATTTGCATCAGATTTCGGGCATTTGTCTGCGATTTTTCAAAACCTGTCTGCGAGTGAAAATCGAGGCTAAAATCGTGGCATGTGAACTCGGCATTAGAGTCAGCGTCTGAGAAACTTCTGATCCTTAATGTGGTTCTTTAAATCCCTTAAAGGAGTAGCCCTTTCAGTTGCCTCATTCTGCTTAGACTTAGGCAAAGTATTATTGCACCCGTGGCCAGATTACGTTTAGAAGATTCCCTCTTGTACAGCCCTTCTTCCCTCTGCCGTTCCAGCTGCCGGAGCAGCTTAATTTATTGTGCCCATTTCGGGCTCTGAAGATTTACGTGGACCGCTCAGCTCAGTGGCGTAAATCAGGTCAGTTACTGTACTGGTGTTCTTTGGTGGATGCAGGTTCTGCATGTTGCATTGGATCAAGGATGCAATTGCTCTAGTCCAGGGATGGGCAAACTCGGTCCTGGAGGTCTACTGTGCTGCAAAGTTTAGCTCCAACCCGGATAAAACTCACTTGCCTGTAGTAATCCTGAAGACCTTGATTAGCTGGTTCAGGTGTGTTTGATCAGGGTTGGAGCAAAACTCTGCAGGACAGTGGCCCTCCAGGACTGAGTTTGCCCATCCCTGCTCTAGCCTATGGGATCGGGGGTATCCTTTACCCCTAGAAGTTAAGATCCACTCTACTGCGGCCTTGTCTAAGATGCTTGCCATGGCATGTCTTTGCAAGATATTTGTGCTGCAGAAGGCTGGGTCTCACCACACACATTTATCAGGTTTTATAGCTTGAACATGGATCCAAGGTCTTTTTTAGGTTTATTTATTTGATTTCCTTTCAAAACCTCTGCAAGCTTTCCTTTTTACAGTTTTGTTGGGCAAGCATTTTGCAGTATGGCATAGAGGGTATACAGTTCCCGTAGTGTCAGCACATGACACAGCATTGAAAAATAGCGTCTCGATTACGCATGTAACCCTGGTTCCCTGATGCTGTGTCTCGTTGCCATACTCCAGGCATGCCTGCGCATCTTCCTTCAGACAGGACAATCTGAAGATGTGATGACGCAGATGCCATTTTATGGTGTTGGTCATTACACGTCATCATAATCTGCTAATAGATTAGGTGTGATTACACACACATGCTTCAGACACCGTTGAAGGGGTGGATTCTGGAATCCACTGCTGCTTCAATGTATATGTAATGAGGGATTATAATCAAGGTATTAATCAATATTTTTCCTTCTAAACATCACATGAGTTGAATGACTTCTCTAGGCTTATGAGATTTTACTTTGTTATAGAAGTTACCAGTGGGATTACTGAAATGTTCTTTCTTGTTTTCTTTCAAAGTCTGTATAAAATATCTGAGAGGTGACTGAGGCTCAAATGCCAGGAATGCAGGAACAGTGCTTGCTCATTTACCCCGGCTTCCAGAAGTGAAATATGGACTCGTTTTGTTTGAGAAAGGTCTTCAACGTGTTAAAACATATAAGGATCTTTGGAACTAATAGTTTAAGGGACCATTTCTTTGTTAAAGCTTTACTTTACTGCGTTAGACTAAAGTGTCCTTTCCTTGAGAACTGTGTTATATTAAAGTGTCCTCTCCTTGAGAGAAAGACATTATCTTGATGTTTTGAGACGACTATCCTGTTTATAGTTAGAGCCTGGCCAAATCCAACCTTGAAAAAGCTGTGTGTTGGTGTGTGTGTTAGTCTTCTCGGTTACAGGTTAAGGAACCACTGGCATTATTGGAGATTGACTGAGTGTTGTTCGGGACAGGCTAGCACCCAACAACTCAGATCTGCGACCTGGAAGGTCACGACGTGCCTAACTTTAGGGTCCGAGTGTCAGCTGCATAATCGATGGAGATATGCTTCAGTCTATCTGTGTGGAAAATTACTATGTTTATCTATTTCTTAGCCAATGAGAATCATTCAACCGGAAGCAAGGACGTAGCTTAGACCTTGATGAAGGGTATAACTGCTGTGATCTTTGTAACTGTAACGGGGCGGCCTACGAACTCCTTGTGAGTCTTGAAGCTGACTTCTACGAACACTCTTCTTGTTCGGCCTTCAGTTTGCAAATGCCAGGAATATTCTCCACAACAGAGCGAATTGCATCTCGTGTCTCCATATCCGCGGTCGTTTTCGATTTCCCCAATCTTAAACTCGGCGCTTAGCGTCTACGTCACGGCTCTCAGCCCGCCCTCTGTTCGTTGATTGGCCGGCTGTTTTCAGGCCGGAGGAAAAACTGAGAGACATGACGATGTCTCAGACTGAGTACAGAAGCGAACTGAAATAGAGCGGAAGTACGAAGTCTGACGTAGTCAGGCTATCTAGTTGCCAAAACTAGTCCATAAATCTAACAATATTATTATAGCTTTTATTTTTATATTTGTTTTCATTTTAATTTTAGTTTAATTATTTTTAATTTCATTAATTTTGTTGTGTTGTTGTTATGTTATGGTTTTTTATTAATAAAATATGTATATGTTTTGTTTTTTTAATTAATTTTTATTTCAGTTATAGTTATATTAGTGCTTGTCTTGGCAAATAGCAAAAATAAAATAAGTTTTTCCCTTCCCAGTTAATGTTTATTTCATCAGAGGTTGTTTTCTTTTCTTTTCTTTTTTACCACAGTACACTGACTAAAATCCACCTTACAGAGCAAAAGTGTAAGTAACTGGCAGGATTTACAATTTCTAATATCTCAGTCCATGTTACAAATCATATCAAAGCACAGTTGCAGTATGCCACTGCACACAAGCAAGTGAAGGGATTAGTGTAGAGTTCAGTTTCTCATGGTACTTTAATCTTAATGTTGTGTTGCTTGTGCAGGACGTCCAGTATCTGAGGGAGGATGTCCATGTTGAGTAAAGGCTTGTCCATGTCATCCCCAATACTGCATCTCACCCTCGCCCTGTGCTTGGGTTTGAGCGATCGAAGAGATTCGGCCTCAAATCCAATGTGTCTCTCATCAATGCCCAAAATAAAGGTCGAGTTTCTTGCGAGTTGCACGCACCACAGCAGCAAACCAATGAGAAAGCAGAGCATTGAGCATACGGTGGTGTTATAAAGCCACTCGGAGCAGGACTCAGAGGCACAGGAGCGCAGATCGGCATCCGTGAGCTCAGCGATGGACCTGTGGGCCAGTTCTGGAGGACTGGCACACACCGGACTCCCAGAGACCGCTTTATTCCTCTGAAGCCACTGTCTTAGGTACAGGATCCTGCAGTCGCAGTGGAAGGGGTTCCCGGAGAGATTGAGCAGCTGCAGGCCGGTGAGCATGTCGAAGTTCCCTGGAGATACGGCCGTGAGGAGGTTATCCTGCAGAAGGAGATCTGTGGTGCTGGCATGAAGCGGAGGGAGCATTCTCAGGCCCTGCGAGCTGCAGTTCACACGCACACCTTTATACGGGACAGCCGTGCACCGACAGGAGTCACAGCTGACATGTGCGAACACTGAGCTCAGGACCAGAGAAAACAGCATCCTGTCTGTGGAGGAAACACACACATCTTCAGATGTGTACATATTCAAATGCATTAAGATTATTCTAACTACTGTTCCTAAAATCCTACAAGTCTTGAGTAGTTTCTGACATTCATTTGTCTTTGGTAGGGTTGGGTATCGGTTGGGTTTTATCCGATACCAGTACCTACTCGGTATTTTTTAAACGGTTCCGGTGCCTAAACGGTTCTTGAAACGGTACTTAAGAAAACGAAACCGCACACACTTTATCAAAAAATAATACCCTTTTATTTACAGGGCCAAACTGGACACAATATTAACTTAAATCTTTAAACAATATAAATACAAATAATAATAAAACCAATATAAAATAAAAATTCACATTTACATAATATCAAATAAAACAATATTGTATCAAACAATGTAATAATACTGGAGATTAATAGAGATTACTAGCAGGCAGAGCTGCCAACTCTCACGCATTGACCGTGAGACTCACGCAATTGACCCTTTTCACACGCTCTCACGCCACACATGCATTTTCTCACGCAGAAAAAAATTGCGGACAAAGAGGACACTGACACCGACAGACAAGGTTACTTTTGATATGGAACAAATCCACAGCTGTCAGATTCTGTCAATATTTTTATGAGATTCACACAATAAATAACGTTTTGGCTCTTTGAAATGTGACAGATCGCTGTAGCGCGTCAGTTCAAACGGCACGTGATACAGCAGCCTACAAATCCACTGCTTCTTAGCTACGCAGCGTTGAGTGAACCTATGAAAGAGAACATCTCTGGTTACTGGTGTAACCTATGTTCTCTCAATAGGGAACGAGACGCTGCAAAGCTCCTTGCGCTGCCGACCAGCTTCCTTTTTCGGCAAAGAAATCTGAGGAGCAGATGGCGCGTGCGCGCCAACATAATATGACGGCGTAAGTGCGTAGAGGCGGCGCCCGCGCCATCAGCCAATGAATTGGCTTGATTCTATATGGATTCAGACTATCGGCACACCCAGAGGGCGTTCTGACACATAATTTTACACGTGAAATGCAGCCAAACCTTGCGAGCAAGAGGGCGCATGCGAGACAGAAGAGACTGTGCGTGTGTGTGTGTGTGTGTGCCTAATTAAGTCAGGCACCGAAATCAGGCACCGAAATTGTCGTTCTTATTCGGTCTGGTTACTACCGTTTACGTCGGAACCGGTTCCCTATTGGCACCGAGTTTCGCTACCCAACCCTAGTCTTTGGGTACATAACCTCATATTTACTGATAACACTCTACACGGTAAAAAATTGCTGTAAAAGAACGGCCAAATTTTGACAGTAACATGCTGTTTTCCAGTAAAACAGCAATATACCGTAGGAAAAAATGCATTCTGGGTGATATATGTAGTTTTTGAGAAAATACCCTACAGGATTATACTTTGAATTAACAGCGCTCAAAGTCAACACTCATTTGCTGTGCTCCCAATCACACCCTATACCCTCATTCACTATTCCCTACATTAGTTCACTATATAGTCTACTTGACGAAGTGAATAATTTCATAGTTAATTCAGTTATATTTCAAAGTTAACTCAGACACTGATGAACACCTGCTGTTAACAAGAAGAATCACTGAAGGAAAGAGAAACAAGAAGAACAGAAAAAAAGATGAAATCAACTGAAGATATAAGACATTAAGTCTCTGAAGATCTCAGCAGAGGAGGATTATCAACTCCACAAACAGCATTACCAGCTTAACTTATTACTAACCAGGCTGACTTTATTTCTGTCAGACGTTTACAGAAGTTCTTATTAAAAGGTGACAGAGGGTTAGGTGTCTTTTTATTTGCATTTGATGTTACCATGATGGTGATCAGTGTTTGCTTTAGTTGGGCTCTTGACCCTTGACTTTTGAACATTAGCTTTTCTTTGGCTGTTGTTGCTGTGTCTTTAAAATACATTTGCTATTGCAAAAAAGCTGAAAGAAAACAGGATTAGATGACAGTGACTATTTGTTAATGGTCACAATCATCATCTAGTGGCCCATTGCACTGATCTCTTTTATTGTATAATGTATTTATATGGGTGATGTTTTGTATTTTTGATTATGGTATCACCGTGATTTTACAAATCGGGATCTATCGTAGTTTTGACAACCAGAAAACATGAAGGATTATAAAAAGTTTCTGCTCAGAACAGTTTGAACACAGACATTAAGAATCGGCGTATGAATCCCAACAATGGTGACAATCAAAAAAGTTTCATGCTGTAATGCATGCTGGGTACCAGCATAGTACAAAAATCGTGCATGACTCCCAGCATGCATTGCGGCATGAATAAATTATGCAGCTGAATTGTCTGGTTATTTTCTTTAATGTTTACTTTTTGCTTTTATTTTTGCTGTTGGTTTTGTGTTGACTTTAAGTAGTGTGTTTTGTGATGTTCAGATTTGATGTTATCTTTTTTGTTGATTGTCACCATTGTTGAGATTCATTGGCTGATTCTTGATGTCTGTGTGTGTCTAACTGAAGCCATAGTTCAAAATCTTTTAGTGAATGATGAGTTCAGCAACACCTGATTTCATTTTCATTGGCTTTGTTTCTGCCACAACAAATGTGTCTTAAAAAACACAGCTACAGCAGCCAGAGAAAAACTAATGTTAAAGTCAAGGGTCAAGAGCCCAACTATAGCAAACACTGATCTCCATAATGGCAACGCCAAATGAAACAAAACAACATCTAAACCTCTGTTAATTCTCAATGAGAATTTCTGTAACGTATATGAAAAAATAAATAGTCAATCTGGTCAGTAATAAGTGAAGCTAGTAATGCTAGTATTTTATTTTTTTTAGAGTTGTTTAATCCTCCTCTGCTGATATCTTGAGAGATTTAATGTCTTCTGTGGCTGAAGTCAGTTATAGTTCTTGTGTTTCGCTTTTTTATCTTCTTGTTGTTCCTCTGTCCTTCGTTGATTCATTTTGTTAACATCAGGTGTTCATCACTAATGCTCAATCATCAGTTAATTAATCACTGAAGGACAGAGGAACAACAAGAAGATAAAAAAGCGAAACACAAGAACTATAACTGACTTCAGCCACAGAAGACATTAAATCTCTCAAGATATCAGCAGAGGAGGATTAAACAACTCTAAAAAAGTTATAGTTCTTTTTTTTCGCTTTTTTGTCTTCTTGTTGTTCCTCTGTCCTTCATTGATTCATTTTGTTAACATCAGGTGTTCATCACTAATGCTCAATCATCAGTTAATTAATCACTGAATTATATCATTAACTTCAACACTGCTTCTGTGTTACTCCAACACTGTAGCGTGGACACACAAGTGTTCATTTAAAACTGAAGATTTTGCAGTGGTAAAAGGGTTAAATGTGTCAAATAAAAAAAAAAACAGAGCGAAGCGTAATTTAACGGTAATCAACTGTAAATTAATTTACGGCATAAAACTGTAGAAAAACAGCAATTTACTGGCAACCACAGCTGTCAGTAGATTACCGTAAAATCAAGGAAAAACAGTAATATTCTGTTAAAACTTAACAGTCACATACTAAACAAAAGAAGTTAATTTCCCTGAAATATTAGTAAACATTTATAGAAAAAAGGTATGCAAAGTCAATAACTGATAAGGAGAGTAAATATTAAACTGAAGTGTTTTATGTGTTTTGCACAGGATGACACAGTACAATGGTGACCCACAAAACTCATTCATTAAACTAACAGATCTCTCCTATCTAGTAACTTCACAGTACTATCAGTATAAATACTAGTTTTTAAACTCGAACTGTTTGAAGCAATCGGTTTCCCAAATTATATGAGTTACCTTCCATGGTATTTTTACGGTAACATACTGTAAAAAAGGAGGGCTCTATTTTAACGGTAAAGGGCTGTAAATTAACAGTACATTGCTGGCAACCACAGCTGCCAGTAGATTACTGTTATTTTACAGTGCAATTTTTAGGTTCATTAGTTAACTACTTACCGTAAGTTAACATGAAAGAACAATACTTCTACAGCATTTATTAATCTTAGTTAATATTAATTTCAACATTTAAATAAATCCAAGATAACAGATAAAACAATAATTATTAATACAATTACCTAAAACAATCAATGACAAATGTTCAGTGTAATAAATAAATCCCGTATTTGGGGCATGTGTATTTTTATACTGATAAATTGAACAGTTTAGCTAAATGCTAACATTAAACTCTACTGAAATCACTTGTGATTTGCGTGAGTATGACAGAAAATAACTTCAACCTAACCTTAAGTGTGTAGAAACAAGCAGATATGTCTTGTTCATTAATGCACAACAGTGGAATTGGGGCAGCAGGATCGGCACTACACACTTTTTACTAAACATGTATCTTGTCTGACATTGGAGACTACTGTACACCGACCTGAGATTCATTCTCCCGGATACTGCTTCAGAAATCGTGATGTCTGTTTTCTATTAGCTAATTAGAGTTAAAAGTTACTTTGGCAAATTTCTAAATGAAACTCTTTTGATCTAATCAGTAAAATAAGTTTGCAAAATGTCCTGAAATTGTTTGTGATTGGGTTTGATACATTCTGTCAGTTCACTCACACACTGATATGCACAACTCCCCGTAATTACTGTACATTTAGCATGATTTGCACAACTAATATGCACCAAAATGGCCTTTAAAATGTTAAAATTGAAAAACATTTTGGAAGAGTTCAAATCAGCACTTTATCTTTCTCAACATTTTATTGTAAACTTTTGTTGTTGTTTGTCACAGATGTTTTCCATAGAGCTTAACTTGTGTTGAATTTGAATTGGAGTTCAATAATAAAGAACAACAATAAAACAAAACAAATATTACAAAAAAGAGATCAGTATGTAAAGTAGCACTGTCTATCAGTGATGTTGAAGAGGTCAAACATTATAAAGGGTGCTGACGAGGACTGTGGCCACGCGCTGTCTAGTGTGCTTGTGCCGTGCTGACACTAACTATATCGGCTCATTTATAACAGGTATATGAGCTCTATGACAGATATGGTT